AAGGGCAACAAGAACCGGAAATATAATCGCGGGTTAATGAGATAGGATGACTTCACACAGGACGGGGGCATGGTTAAATATATTTAGCTATATTCGACCTGCCGTGTGCAGTAAGTATCCTTGTAAGAGAATGGACAACTTTGAAGATTGGGTTCTGGATAATAAAGACAGGGTAAGCTCTGTATTAAATGCGCAGATATTTTGCCATGTCCTTAAATTTCCGCCAAACATTCACTATAAAATAACGATGATGATTTCATATTGATATTGATTTATCAAAACTAGCACCCTAGAATGGATATGCAAAGGTGACAGCTAGGAGAAAAGCGAATTATTCGTTATAGTAATTGATGACTCCGAATTAACTAGAAATACCTACTCGTCGTCCTTGGCCACTTGCATGCTTGCAAATTCTGTTATTTTTAAGCATCAGCAAATGAAATGTAAGCATACATCACCGCAACAAGCTGGTTCTGTTGTGTAAAATTCGAAAGAATTGCATTAAAATCAGTGTTGCTGTTTATGTACAGTATAGTCACTGATTCAAATGCGACATTATATTTTACATACAGCAGCCCTTATGCCTAATTGCATCGGATAACCACAATATGTCGCGACAAATTTGAGTTCAAAGCATGATGTTGAAGGAGGATGATGGAGGATGAAAAATTGGCCCTGTATCTCCATGTTGATCTGCAAATGTCGTCTTGAGACGATAGTCTCACGTGTGAAGAGAGTGAACAAAACGTTTATTTGATGTTCTGCGCAAGAAATCGATGAATGTCATTCTGGAGGTGCGTCGTTAGAGTGCCTCGAGCGTGCAGCGGAGGCGAACGAGCGCATCAAGTCACGTCACACGTGAGACATGAGCGTTATCTCGCAGTTTTCTTGGAAAACGAAGCACGTGCCTTTGAGACAGGCGTGTGCGCCCGTCTCAGAGGTGATAAGGTGTAGAACGCAAAGCGACGGATAGGTGCCACCACCATGTCGTCTTGACAAAGCGTTGGAAACACTCGCCTTTTCGTTCAAGCGTTGCATGGTCAGCAAAGCGTGATAAACGCTATGATCTTTCGATTTATTTAGGTGTGTTTTTTCTAGTAAAAGACGCACATACAGAATATATACGTGTTTTTATGGTGCCTCAGATATGCGCTATAGTTGCTTTTTGATTGACAATCGCACATGTATGAACGCTGAAGCTTGAGCATCATTGGTGGGCGCAGCGGATGGGGTCAGTCGTTTGGGGTATTGGCTGGTGCCGTTTAGAGTAATAAGTACCGTTAAGAGTGGACAAACGGACAAATATACAGATAGACAGACCAAAAGTTTTGCGTCGAAGGTCCCCAAGAAAGACTGTCGTCTTTGAAAATCACAGCAGTATCCACGGAGTGAATGATGAAGAGTAGGGCGAAGCATCGGTCGGTCCGTCTGTCTGTTCGTCCGTCTGTCAATCCATCCGTCCGTCCGACAGACGGACAGATGGACACACGGATGAAAGCACGGACAGATGGACGCACAGACATACAAACAGATGCACGGCCCGGACGAAAGGATGGACGCACGAACGGATGGACGTTTCGAATCACGGATGGGCGGACGGAAGCATGGAAACACGGACGGACAGATGGACGAAAACATGGACGGACGGATGGTCGGACGGACGGATAGATGGACAGGCGGATGAATGGTTTGCCCCACTCATCATCGTTCACTCCGGGGATATGCTGTGAGTTTTTTTTCTTTAAAAACCTGATTTCACCAACCTTATCACATAATGTTAGTCTCAAAAGCTTTAGAACTCCAGAATAAACTTGTGACCTACACAAAGAGATGTGGTAGCAATTGATTGATTGATATGTGGGGTTTAACGTCCCAAAACCACTATATGATTATGAGAGACGCCGTAGTGGAGGGCTCCGAAAATTTAGACCACCTGGGGTTCTTTAACGTGCACACAAATCTGAGCACACGGGTCTACAACATTTCCGCCTCCATCGGAAATGCAGCCGCCGCAGCCGGGATTCGAACTAGACCACCGCGACGGGGCTGTGGTAGCAATTCAACCATCACCCCTCCGCTTATATACTCAAGTGTCACTGGCTGTTTCGATTGTATTCGATTTCCACAATACCTGGGATCTGCGGGAATGTAATATTTTCATGATCCTCTTGATGCATTCTGCTCCCAAATAACACGTTTTAACATAGGGCTTGTTGTTTGGTATTAATACGATCGTTAAACTGTATCTTATCTCTCGTTTTGTGTGGCTATCGAGACAGCGATTTCAAGCGCAGTTGACATTGAATAGCAGAAGTATTGCTGCTTTAAGCCATTGAAATGGCGGCAAGTATGTCGTTTACGAAACCAGGCATCCTTATGTCTGGTTTCTTAAGAAAACCCCGGCCCAAGCGTTTCTCTAATGACAGAAAGTACACAGAAACATACGAGTTAGTCACCGTTCGCATTCCGCGTTCATATTACTATTACCTCAACCTATGACCAAAGCTGCAAAATGAGCAGCGATCCCATGGGCTCCAAGCTTCAGTCAACAGTACTGTACATGTGGTCTTGTTAGGTTTTCAGGACGCTCGGTTAAAAGTGCTTGTAGTTTAAAGTATGGGTAGTTAGGCTATGGGCTATTGACCTTTCATTAAGTAATAATTTTGGAAGGTTCACCTACAATGTCAAAAGCTCTTTTTGGCACACTTCGGAATTCTTTTTTTTCTAGTGACAACGCATAAAACGAGATTCCTTTTTGAGCAATTGTTTCAGAGCACCTAGCAATTCATCTGTATCTAGTTACTGGCGAAACTGCTTAACCTCACTATTTTTTGGACCCTTTTCACGTGCGTGATCCTCAGGCGCTAGGCAAGTTTCTATAATGGATACTTGTGTGGTTGTAAAGATTATAGTATCGACATTTAGGAGCCTCAATAATTCTTCCTGAGGTAAGGGTTATAAAATATGCGAAAGACCGTAAAAATGAACGAGGGCAAAAAAAGTTTAAGCTGATACGTGTGGGCCGCATGTGGAGGCTTTTGTCGAAATCCGTTCCATGCGCACTGAAAGTCGACGCTGGTAGTTTGGAAGGAAGGCGTTTATATGCTAAAATCAGTAATTTGCATTACCTGTAAGGTTGCTCCGATTCTTCATGATGTATACAATAGAAAGATGCAGGATCAGATGCCTTTTATGCTGGAACATCGTTGGAGCATTCCCGGTGCAACGCTATAGATATTGCTGCTCCTGTCACGGCATCGCACTTTTGGCGCAACTGTCATGGCGCTTAAACAAACATTTCGTTTCCTAGTCTTATTTCGGTCGTTAAACAATGATTACCGTTCGATTCACGTTAGCACACCCTCATATTGTGAATGACTCCCAGAGGAAAGGGCACAGAGTTAAAAAATGGCCGTAACATCAAATAGACAAGGAATGTATCAAAAATAATCGACTATTCTGGTGTGCACACACGTGAAATATATCAGCGCACTTTACAGACGACACAACGAACAAGTGGGCAAGTTAGTCTTGAATAATAATAATGCATTGTATTGTACAGCGTAAAATACGAGACATAAGAGGAGGAAGCGCACATGAACAGTTCAAAGAGACACTTAAGAGATTAGGATGAGATTCTGCTCTACGGTTTCATCAATCACCGACTAGTGTGCTCCACTGTGAAACAGGTAAGAGGACTACGAAGTTTGGAAGACTTTTAAGTTGGCTTTAAACCCAATTTAAACGTTCAAATCCAGAGATTGGTTCAGCTCGACGCCCCTGTGTTCCGATTGACAGAAGTGCTCTGCTGTCCATTACAACACGACATTTCCGGGTGAAGTGTTCGCTAGCATTTTATGTGATGCGACCAGCTTCTATACCCCGACAGCAGTGATGCCTTGAAAGAAGCAGCTGACTTGCGGCGCAGCCGGTGGCCCCAATATGCCTGCCACCAAGAATCCGACCCTCTTCCCTAACGCTACAGAAGTATATGGCAGCTGCGAGGTCACACTCATGAGACGTCGACTACTGTAGACACAGGTTCTGTGCTATCCAATATAACGGGAAAATATGTATATGAGGTTTACGTTGTAGTCCATACTTCATACGCGTACGCCTCGGTTGATCAGTGGCTACGGTGTTCTCCTGCTTACCTGAAGGTCTTCGGTTCGATACCGGCTGCGGCCCTCGCATTTTGGTGGAGCTGAAATGGTTGATGCCCAAGTTCTGCGTGATGTCAGCGAACATCAATATCGAAGCCTCCACTAAGGCAGACGTATTTCATAATGATATCATGGTTTGAAGACGTAAACACCAATTATTATTATTATTATTATTATTATTATTATTATTATTATTATTATTATTATTATTATTATTATTATTATTATTATTATTATTATTATTATTATTATTATTATTACGCACAATGCAGCCGCGCTTCCAGGCGCTATCACACTTTGTCGGCGAAAACATATTGGTTGCCTAAGCCTGTCCGCAGATATACTTGTATTCAGCTTCCACGTAAATCTTCTTGGACCTATCTATGTGCAGACACATGCGCCAGCTTTACGACCGACCGTCAGCAGAGAACCGGAAAAAGGAGCCGTGCATGGTAAACACTGGAGGGTATACCCAAGAAAAAGTTTGATAACTAGAGCAGGTAGATTGGACTTGCTACAGGAAGGAAGATAGCCCATACCTGCTGTAGCGTTGCTTCTCGGCGTATACCCCTCCCCCCTTTCTTCACTCCTTTCTCTCCCGTGTTTGTTTCTGTCGGCTGCATCTTCCAATGAGCGCTTGTGAAGCAGAGTATCACACAATTTTCAGAGCACCTGCTTTTAATGAAATCGCAAAAATGACAAGTCTAACTTGCTTACAAAGACCTTGTTAATAGACAAAAAATATTGACGGCCTTAAAGTGCCTTTTTTTTTTTGCTGACATCTATCTGCTCGTCAATTTCGTGGGCACCGTCTTTAGCGCGATGTTCTTACAGAATTCAAATATCAGGTGTCTGCGGCGTTTCGTTGACAAGAGGATGAGTTGCGTTTCCCCGGACGCAAAGCTCGGAAGAGCCAACTTCTGGAAACTTGTCACAGTCGAAATGCTCGGGCCATAGGAAACCAAACTTAATCATTATAGGCTCACAGCCTTCACGCGCTGACGCGCAAAGGGAACGACACGGCGGGATTGGGTAGTCCTGCGAGGGCGGGCACTCCGGTGCATACACAGAGCAGATAAATGTTTGCAGGTCAGGTGAGCACTTGATCTGAACCAATGGATAGAATTGGTGCGCTTCCAGGCCGGCATCATCCTGTTCTTGGCCAATAAGGTTGGGTGTTATAGTCATGTTGTACTGAAGACTTCTGCACATTGGAATCGTCAGAGGCTCACAGCGGTGGTTCTCGCCAGCGCGCGAGCTCACTGAATGTCCAAGGGTGGGTTCCAAAAGCGCCACCAGCGCTATTAATACAGCAAGCGGAACTCCGCTGGGTTGCATCTTCAGGTCCTTGTAGACCCGGGAGAATTCTTCTGAGGCGGGCTTGAAGAAGTCCCCAAGACGCAAAGTTGAGGCCAGAGGGCCAACGATGGTGGTGTTTTGCGCAAACTCCACAGGCTACTAAAAATGAAACGTCACCACTTGCACGGCTTGCTTTGAGGATCGTTGGGCCATGCCAAGGATGAACCGTCTACCCACTAACACCCTTGTATTCACTTCATTGGCTGCTGGTGTTCCAGTAAATGCGCGTCCGTCTAACCAATCGCAAGGAGTTCAAATTTCAATGTGATAGGCACGTCTTGCGAGAAGAGTACGCAAGATCCTCTCTCTTCGTAACCTGTTTACGGCATGGGTTTCCGTTGCCATTCGTTACAGGCTGAAGATAGTAGAACGCCGTCGCTCTCTAATTAGACATCCGTTTGCTTGCTTCCCGTCGAATGGCCTCGGGGGTCTGTCCGCTTTTCTGAGTTCTATAGTTCTGCGTTGAAAACGACCGCTTTGCTTGCCAAACGACTCGACTCGTGGCATGCGTCACATGTGTTATCAGACGTCGCCTGTGGTCGTTTAATTTGCGTCGCCTCACCTCTACCATTTAGCGTATTTTGCTTGGTTCGTCTGTAGTGTTTGCGTAAAGTGTTCATCACAGTGGCTATTCATTTTCATCGAAGGAAAGTCTAATTTTAAAACTGGTTATCAAGTTCTGAGAACCATAATGAAGGATAAATATGTACAGCCCTACCACTGTGGTCTAGTGGCTAAGGTACTCGGCTGCTGACCCGCAGGTCGCGCGATCGAATCCCGGCTGCAGCGGCTGCACTTTTGGTGAAGGTGAAAATGCTGTAAGCCCGTGTGCTCATATTTGGGTGCACATTAAAGATTCCCAGGTGGTCAACATTTCCGAAGCCCTCCTCTACGGCGTCTCTTATAATCATGTGGTGGTTGAGGACGTCCCATTAAGCACAAGAAAAGCTAACATCTTCTAGTAAATGTCAGAAAAGGATAGTCCAAAGGTATATAAGAAGTCTTGTTGAGATGTTATTTAAACCTAGGCAGCTTGAAAACCTCCTGTAGCTGTGCTAACGCCACGTTAACATAGGGCTAGGAAACTTCTAGCAAGAATTCCAAAAAACTTCTTCCTAGATTTTTTAAACAACCTTCGTAAATGTTTACTATACCTATAATATTAGAAGCCTAGTTGACTCCTTCCCAAATACTAAAAAAAGACTTTTGCTAAATCTTTCAACAACTTTTTAGACATATATTTTTTATGCAACTCAGCATGTCGGGAGCGTTTCCTGTGGTTGATTTGTCGCATCATTTGAGCGTTTTGTAATCGGTGCATTTAGCTGTTCATTGTTGAGAGTGACAAGTAGAGACAGCAGCATAATTTGGCATTAAATTGGTTGATGACACTTTTTAACAAGCAAAATTGGTGCCCTCTTTGTTGAAAGAATGAATTAGTGACTGCTGTTTATCATCTAGATAATCAGTTTCGCTTCGAGACAACTCAGGCTTTTAAACGTCAACTCATTTTCGTTTCTCGTGTTGCCTGGAATGCGTCATACTGCACATCCAAAAGTAAATGCATATTTTAAACAAATCTTCTTCCATACTTGTAACATTTATTATACATAACAATGACTACACACTTTGTACCAAAACGAGCATGCTTTAGTGTAACTATGATTATATAAAGCAATCGAGGTGCTGGCCTGATACTCGGTCCAGGAACCTGCACACTTACAAAAGCCACAAAGTGTTTTCTTTGAGCAGGCTTCTCTCAGTGCAATGAAAATTAGCAGGCTAGCTTATGAAACACATTAGCAAATATATGAAAGTAAAAAATTAGTCACGGCCAAAAAGCAGCAGTAGAACAATTGATTTTTTTTTCACCCAGTGCGCTTAAATTTAGGTATGTTAGAACCATGAGTAGTCGAAATTATTGCATTTCATCACAAATATGTGTTCAACAATCAAATTGTGGTTTTGGCAACAGCCCGAATTCTAATTCCATCCCGAAATACTCGCACAAATGACAGTAAAGTAAAAAGCGCTACAATATTCCTGAGTGCCTTCTGTCAGTTATCATTAACAATGTTAAACATGGTTAGGTATCACTAATCTATCACGTATGGTTAGGTGTTGGCAAATTTAGGTATGATTAGGTATGACAGTAGAAAATCACTTGATTGTACTTATGACGATAAATTCGAGAAGACAATGAACTTTACGAAAACATAATAAGCTAAATATTCAGTCAATATTACAGTGAAATAAAATTATTGGTCTGCTACAGCCATATTGCAATGCAAAAAGTTCAATATTAAGTTATTAACTGCAGATTACACAAAAGTTAAATATGACATGAAGCCTTAGGAAACAGTACTGACACATTCAGAGACGTGCTTTATGCTTGCATTAAAATTCAGCCCTAGGAACAAAAAACCACCTTTGCAGATAAGTTATGTGTCCAGGATGATGCAAAGTAAGACAACAACGCTGTCAGCTGCCCAATTGACTAGGAATAACGAAATTTTGTTGCCTACAATAAGTGGGTATGTTTGCATGAAAAACTCTGTGGCAGTCGTGTTTCTACACACTCCCACTTGAAAAAAAAATCTTCGAGCGTGTCTATGATCCAAGATATTCCACTGTGAAGTTTAATTGTGCTCTTCATGATGACGCATGCAAGGCAGTGAGGATCAGCAAAATATTACTCCCTGGTTACGCGCAGTCAGCGCTTGCTATTATCAGCTGGTAGTAAAAAGGTAACCATTACAATATTTGCCTATGGCTTCTACCCATGATCAGATTATATGCATCACCTTAGAGAGCAGTAGCTGCATGCATAATGATGCAAGCCACAACTAAACTTTCCAGCATGATATCTGAGCACAGGCATGCCAGAATTCTTTAGACCTATGTAGAAGTGTGACTAGCTAAAATTTTAATACGTCCATGACCACCAGCTGCAGTCACTAATAAGTTCAATATTGAATCTTGTTCAACGGCATGGCTGACAGTGATAATTACTGTTGCACATTGTGTTTCTCTGAACACTGCAAAGGTGGATTTTAAACACACAGATTACAGCACGGACTTTTTAAAGAAAAAAGTAAGGCTTAATTTTGAACATCCTGAACATGCGAGCTACTGGAATACAGCAATCAGGTGGCTCCGTGAAGTTCCCTTTCCATAAGAAACAGAAGCCGTGCGCAGCTGCTGTACATTCAGTAGCCAACTTTTCCACGAGCCACCATTGATGATAGACTTGTCCGGAATTCTTTCACCCTCAGTTCGTACGATGTGCGTGCATAGGCTGCGATAGAAACACCGAAAAAAGCAATTCAGTGACATGTGTCTCTTAGCAAAATTGAATTTGTCAGTCTATTTAAAATCATTTCGAACAACGTGTCTGAAAACAAGCAGGATGTACACAAACTAAAGATATTACAAGCAAAAATTTCTTGATGTTGTTGGCGAACACAGTTGCAATTTTCTGAAAGAAATGCAATTTCCGCATTGCAGATGTATTTAAACCATGCTTGAATTCCGCTCGTAGATAGTGCATTTACAGCTAAATCAATGATACCACAACACATACATGATGGTATGCACTTTCATCAAGTATTCATAGCAGGTAACCTATATTACAAATAAAAATTTAATTTCACATAAAACTAATATAGCTTTCTTCGGGCTGCTCACACTGGGAGGATTATACCTATCATGTCAACAAACTGGTGTCACTAAATTACTATTGTGTGCTGCCAAATTATGTTCATCAGTTTCAATGACTCTGGTTGGCTAAAAAGGCAGTACCCTTCACTTAAGCATCATAGGCTGTCTAATGAAAAAAAAAACCTGAAAATACTAAGACACGAAACACCCACCTCGAACCACACACCATCCCAATAAAGCACGCAAGCTTCTGCAACAATCTCCGGGAACCAGAATCTTGGAAGCTGTTGACCGCGATTTAGCAATAAAGTTTGACGAAACTAATTTCCAAATTTGTATAATTCCTTCAGTGCCAATAGCTTGAAAACTTGTAGTCTATATATATTATTCTGAAATAACTACGGTGTCCAATTTTACATTTTAACAGCAATACGTGCATGACATGCATGCTAACCGTGATGTATAACGTTATAGCGAGTTTTGAGTAATAAATAAAATATTCATTCTGCACATAACACAGATCCCACTAACATCTGTAGCGCATGCCTACAGAGTTTACTTTGTCCAACACAACGGTAAGCTTGTCATTAATCAGAAAATGTCTTTGGAGGTGGTGCTCAAAACTATTCCAAATGTCCGTACATGTAAATTGTTTAGCAAAGTTTGAACACAAAGGTTAGGCGGGGTGCATAGAATATTTAATAAATCAAAACAAAATCGAAACATACTGAACACAAGCAGAGTAAAATCGATGGTGTTCGAACGCGTGGACTAATTACTGAACTAGTGCTCACACAGTAAAGTACAGCAATTCGGCCACATTTAGCCATAAAATATTCGTTCGAAAATACAGTTCAAGGTAAACTAATGGCCTAAAACGCGTGGATGTAGGACGCATGCGGCAACCTCTGCCGCTGGTGTGTACCATAAGTTTGAATTTTACGAAACGAGCTGTATGAACACTAAAGCGTAAGTGCAACCTTTGCGAGCCATACCTAAGACGATGCAGCACGCTGCACACGAACACACATGAGCTCGAGTATCATGTAGTTCATAAAGACGCGTGCCAGCGCGGATGCACACACCGGCTTACATTCGGCCACTCGCAAGTAAAAACATCTCTGATAGTAGTTAGTCACAACGTGTAACGATACTGTGGCTGTTTAAAA